TGCACTAAGCAACCCGTTGTAGAACGTTTGAACTTGCAACCACTAAGGAATGCCATGGTGATGGCATTTTTGGAGTAAGTCTTTGAATCTCTCCCACGCTTCATACAAAGTCTCAGAGTCATATTATGCGAACGATGTGATGTCGTTCCTCATCCTTGCAATTTGAGCTGGTAGAAAGAATTTAGCTAAGAATTTTTGAGCTAACTCTATCCACGTAGTAATAGAACCTGGTGGCAATGAATGCAACCAACTCTTCGCCTTATCATGAAGTGTGAAAGGAAAAAGTCGGAGTCTAATTGCATCTTCGAAAATTCCATTGTATTTGAACGTGTCGCAAATTCCAAAAAACTCACCAAATGATCATTTTGGTCGTCGTTAGGCAAACCCCCAAATTGCAATGAATTTTGAATCATTTGGATGACACCCGACTTGATTTCAAAATTGTTTGCTTGAATTGTGGGCCTTTGAATGCTCGATTGTATTTCTATAACAAGTGACATAGCATAATCCCTTAACGATTTTTGTTCATCTTCAACCATAGCTTCTTGGTTGTTTACTTCTTGATTCTGTTTTCGCAAGTTTCGACACCTTCTCTCGATTTTGTCTTCGTACGGTAGTAGCTCCTGACCTTTAGATCGTGTTAGCATATAAAATTCAAGAGTGCATGCGAAAACAATTAAAACAGAAAATTAAATAAGTTTAAACTAAGATCAAATTAATTGAAATTAATATTGAAATAATTACTCGAATAATTCATCGGCAACGGCGCCAAAAACTTATTGTCCGAATTTGGTATTGACAATTTACGTGCAAGTATACACGATCAATAAGTAATAAAGTGATAAGTAGAGTATCGTTCCCACGGAGAATTATTATTAATAAATTTCAAGTACTAACTTTATATCAATTCAATTTTATTTAAACAATTGAATTTGAGCTATGTAATTACTAATTAAAACTAAATCTAAACTTAACAATCAAGGGTTGAATTTACTAGAGAAAAGAAGTTAAGATTACAACTTTCCCTAATGCTTCATATAAATCCCTCTAACTCTCTTTCTAATTAATTGATCAACATAATTTATTAACTGAGAACTCAAATTTATTTATCAAACCTCTTCCGATAGTTAGATAAAATTATCTATCCCAATTAAATTATTATATTCCTATGCAAAATAAGTTGGAATAAATTTATTAAGTTCAAACTCTCATAAAAGTTACACACGGCGTATAGGTATATTCCTATCCTATACATAAACTCAGCAATTCAATCCTAAGTAGAATTAACCAGACGTATATCATCATATTCAGATCTAAACCTAAAATTCATCTCTCAATTTCATCTAGGTTATCAAACTAATTGTTAGCCACACAATCATATATTAATCACAAAATATGACAAACAACTCATATAAGATCAATAAGAACTAGAAACGAGAGTAGATTAATTTAACTAGACATAGGTTCCGTTGCAATCTTAATAAAGATTTAGTTCATAATGTAATTGAAAGACATCATTCTAAAATTAAACAACATCTTAGAAAAACAAGAAGTAAAGGTAAGAGAAAAGAATAAAAATTTAGTTATAGTCTCCAATCCGTCTCTAGCCTTCAAGTCCAATATTCTTCGTGTCGATTTCTTCGATCCGTGCCTTCAATTTTTTTTCAATTCCTTGGTTGTTCTCTAATATTTTCAGCCCCCAAAAGTCAAAATATCTCATTCCCACACAAACCCTAGTATATATATAGCCTTAGGGTTAAATATTTGGGCCCAAAACAAGTCAAAATTCGCGTCACGGATTAACACACGCACAGGGGAGCTCACACTGGCGCAGGGGCGCTGATTTGGACAGTGTTTGGGCGCTGGGGCACGCCTCCTTGTATTCTGCCTGCTCCGGACCAATTTTTGTAGAATCGTCATAAATTTTGATACAACCAGCCGATTGAGCTGAAATTTTGACACAATACAAAAGACATCCTGATATACAACTTTCATGTTTTACACTTTTTCAGATTCGAAGTGGATCATGGTCAAAAAGGTATAAAATTGAGGTACTGCCACAAAATGGTACGCTATAAATACTCCATTAAAATGCCCTTTAGCTTCCGCTTCAAAAATCCGACATTTAGGCTCCAATTTTGACATTGTTTCCTCCCAAATGGTCATTTCTACAAAATAACATCAAAACACACAAAACAAATAAAATGAACATAAAATAATTAAAAATTTACAATTTCATTAAGCGGAAAACACTCAATTCGTAGGTATAAAACTTACTCATCAATACAATTCGTAAGTATAAAACTTACTCATCAATAATACATTTTAAAAGATATAAATGTGATTTTATCACATTTTGACTAGAGAGGTTGTGAGGGATCTACCTCCCCATTACCGGGGATATACCTCCCTCCAAGAGCAATCCTCCCCATTACCGGGGATATCCCGCTCTCCATCAAAGGATTTCGGCTGACCTGCGAGGCAAACCCCCACAGTAGCCTTTACCTCTGTCCCACATCGGGGAAAGAGTCGTCTCCCCACCCCCATATAAGCCGAAGTACTTGGGTACTGCTCTCATATGGTGCTTCGGCTTATATGGGGGTGGGGAGACGACTCTTTCCCCGATGTGGGACAGAGGTAAAGGCTACTGTGGGGGTTTGCCTCGCAGGTCAGCCGAAATCCTTTGATGGAGAGCGGGATATCCCCGGTAATGGGGAGGATTGCTCTTGGAGGGAGGTATATCCCCGGTAATGGGGAGGTAGATCCCTCACAGAGGTGGATTCTCGAACTTTTTCAAGCCTTGCAAAACTGAAACACGACTAATTCTATTTATCAACAATCAACATCAAGCCAATTTGAACCGACTTTTCAAGAAAACATGCACACTGTTCTAAAGGAGCAGGGGCAAGGCCACGAGGATAGGATCAACTTGGAGGACACGCCCAAGCCCTCGTGTTCAAAGTACTTCTTACATAAAAGCTGTACTTTATTATATGTCCAGTTCATACATTGTTAGAAAAACGGTGGAGTTTAGTAATTCTATGCACTAGTCACTTGCCCATGTCCCTCAAGCTCTTCATTTCATGCTTATGCTTCTTTGGGAACTATGCCTCCCCACCACCCCCTTTGCCCCTTACACATTGGGAGAAGAATATATTTTTGTTTTATTTCATTTTTGTGACATGAGAAATTTTGGTGTATCACTAAGGTTGTTCTATTGTGATTTAGGTGCAATACACCTTTCTGATCTCATAATTATAAGAACCTCATGTATTGGGATTCCATAGGTTTGTAGGGTGGAGTGATTTCTAGCATGCTTCTCAAAGATTTTGATTATGTGAATGCCTCAACTTCTCCATATGAATGAAAATATGCAGATGTCTTCATGGAATAAACAATTTCAACAATGACAGCATCTTTCTGATATATAAACAAACTGATTCTCAGCTTTTGACCAAGGTGGAAAATGGTTTGGTCATTCTCTGATTCAAACTACTTTATTTGGTCAATCTCATTTTATTATTTTTTTTTATTAAGACTGAGTTGGCAACAGTTTGGCTTTAAGAATAATGTTTGTCAAGGTTTTCAAAACCAAATCCTGCATGAAAATACTAAAAAAAATCAGTTTTGTAAATGAAAGAATCCAAAGTTACATGTTGGACAAGAAGAAAAAATGACACAAGCCCTATGAATGGTATCCAAGGGATTCTCTCTCTTGGTTTTGTCACACTCATTTACTTCTATATTCTGAGGACCAAATCTCTGACTCAGACTATCTAATCATTTTCATACTAGCCTTTTTTTTAAGATTTTGTTCAAACAATGTAGATAACGACTACTGTTGGATCCAAATATAGATACAACTAAGTTGCAAAATTATGATTTCTTACAAACCTTGTGATGGACCCCTTTATCTCCCAACAAGTGGGAGCATAACCCATATTTGAGTGAATTCTCAAAATAAAGTCGTGGCATGTTAGTATTAATGATGGCTCTCAAGAATGGTGATGGACAGGTGGTACCGGTTGAGTCATGGAAACAAAACTCTTGCTGAAGCACAGCATGGGCGTTCGTTCGGGCTGAAGGGCCCTTGATAAGAGTGATGATGCAACTGCTCGTGTAGAGCGATTAAAAACTTGATTCTTGAAAGAGTGAGATTATGTAAGATGAGATTTAAACATGGTGTTGCCAAAAGTGGAGGTCAGATTTAAACAAAGAGAGTTAAATCCCGATGTGGTTCACACGTGATTAAGGTGAGATTATTAGATACCATGCATGAGAATGCCACATCGAACGGAAAAAAAATAGTGAAATTCTGTTAATATATTATAAATGAGTTCACGACCTACAGTATGACGGACGGAACATGCATATTAATCCTCATATTATTAGACTACACCTATTTTTTAACAAGTTATACCCGAGTTATTCTAAACAAATTAATCCCTATAAAAGGGTTGAGCTTAGGTCATGTTAAACTAAGCTCTTAAAAACTGGCAGGGCCTCCCAATTCAGCAGAGATGAGGGGTATCTTTTGAAAAAAAATCTGATCTTTTCATGATTTACCATTACAGAAAGTCCTAGATGGTTCTCTTGGTCTTGTTTAAGCTTAACACTTAAGTAATCCTAAATTGTTTTCTAATGATCAACACCAAAAAAAGTAATACTAAAGAATACCAAGGGGTCACTGATGGACCACACTATATTCAACTCATAGAACACATTCATCCAGACATCTGAACAAAAAAAAAAACAGATATTCTCTCTTCCCCTAAACAAATATTTATTTTTATCATTATTTATTCAATTTACTTTCCCTAAGTCCTGCATGGAACCAGAAGCCATATAATATTAAGACAGGTGTTGAAACCCTAGCTTTGACTGGAGGGTCTGGATTTTGGACTCTATAAAGCCCACAATGTGTGTTTCATGTTCTTCTCTTTTGGTTGTTGAAACCAACAAACATATCAGAGAAAGAAAGGAACTCAATAATGGTGTCCATGGGGTTTACAAGCTTGGTAGTCTGTCTTCTCTTTGTTTTGCATGGCCTAAGGAGCTCTTCTGCTCATAGTCATCAAGGTAGGTAGTTTTTTTTTTCCAGTAAATTTCCTAGCAGTAAGCATATGACAGGCAGAGATGTAATATTTGTCTCTTAACTTCTTTTTGCAGGGAGAGGAAGAAGTATGAATGAGCTAACTGCTAACATAGAAGATGTTGCACCGACTCAAAAGGTAGGCTTGTAGTTTTGTGATTAATTTTTCGTAACTACGTGTAATAGGTTCGAGTCATAGAAACAGACTTTTTGCATAGGGAGATAAGGCTATGTACCCGATCACTCCCTAGACCTGGACACTACTTTTTTATCTGCATAACTTTCTATACACATAACCTAACTACTTTAAACATGTAAACAGGAACTTACTAATCGAGCTCTCCTTGCTGGTGCTGCAAAAAAGGGGCTTGTTGGTGGAAGGAAAATGGTGGAAGATAAAGAGTTGAGGAAAAAGATTGAGAAAGAGGAAGAGCTAAATGGGAAAACATCAAAGATTTCAGGTGATTCTGCCAGAACATGTTATGATCTTGAGGAAAAAGGGGACTTGAGTTCGAAATGTATAAGTGTGGATGGATTTGTAGCTTTAAGTGGTGATTATCATATGCCAAAACAGCACCCTCCTACGAATAACTAAAAAAGGTATATCCAGTGCACAAGATTCTTGTCATTGCAAGGTCTGGGAAGGATTAGATATACGCAATCTTATCCTGCAAGCAGAGAGATTGTCTCTGCGACTCAAACCCGTGACTTTTAGGTGCTAAGAATAATTGAACTAGTGCATTTTTTGCTCTTTTAAGACCTCTTATTTTTTTTTATATTGAGGTCTTCCTCCCTCAAAGAATGTAAGCTATCAAATTTTTATGTATGGAAAATATCTTGGAGGCATTCATTTACTAAGGTGCTTGTTCATTTTAATTAGTCTTACGGTTTTGTTTGTGAGAATACTATTGCTTCAAACATTTTTGACAACCCTAGTTCTTTATATATAGGATTCGATAGAGTTGAGGATAGTGGTATTAATATTCTTTGTTTGATGCAGGAAAGGATAAGAATGCTTCAAAGGATTCTCTTGGAGGACCAGAAGGTCTCTTGAACACTCAGGTCTCTCCCTCTCTCACACAAACACTTCCACTTGAGCTCTTTGTTGATCACATACTGATACAATCAGCATCACATGCTTAAACTACAGATCACATACTGATACAATCAGCATCACATGCTTAAACTACACACTTTCAAAGGAAAAACATATTCCTTGGGGACAAGTTGTGCTTAAAAATAGTTTTACGTTGATCAATGAAGGTCCCCCCCCCCCCCTCCCCACCCACACACACAAAAAAAAATAGCAAACCAAGATTATCTGTTGAACATATCCTCATTTTTATCTTATATAAGTTCACTGTATACTGTTCCACCTACACTAAAACCAATATGTTCTTTTAATCACAGATTAAACCTGTCCAATCAAACACCAAACCTCAACAACCTCTTGGTTCCAAGGCAGTTTCAAAGAAAGCCCACCTGGGCACGTCTTCAAAATCAAGCAAAACAGTGACTTCTGAGTATCAAAAACATGAGACTTCTCAGAAAGATGAATCAAAAGGACTTGCTGATGCAGCAGACAAAATCGCAAACCTGATGCGCAAGGATTATGAAGGAATGGATAGCCCACGCCGCAATCCACCCATCAACAATCATGAACCTATGGATTAAGAAAGAGTGACTGATAACTGATGATACCCTAAAGTTAGGTTTAGGCTCACAATTTTGCACCCCACATATAAAGTGAAGTCCCCTAGCTAACAGTATCTAAGAACTAGGAAATCTTTTTGTTTGTTTGTTTTTGATGGGTCTTCAAGACAATTATTATACGTTTTTTTTTGGTTCTTCCTTCAGCTAGAACTGTAGGAACCTATTAGTATTGTATATTGTCTGGAGCCTTTTACTTATATATATATATATATTTGAAGGTAGGCTAGCTAGTGGTGTGGAATCTATATATTTATATGACATGATCTAATGAAAGTTTGTTGTCATTGCTATTTTTTCTTTTTCCTTTGGCTTTGAGAAAGAAATCTTTTGTGGTGGGAAGATGTGTTATAGAGTTGATTGTGGTGGGAAGATGTGCTATAGAGTTGACTGTGGAGCGTAGAGTTGCAAATTCGAAACCATCGACCATTAGTACATAGTGAGAATTTAGTTTTTAACACGAATTGTCTATCCAACACAAAATCCAAGTGAATTTATTGCTTTGAATCAGACATAGGTTAATCTGCAAGAGCCACTCATAATTTATAAAAAAGTTAATAATACTTTTAGTTCTTAAAGTATGTCCGTTTTGTCAATTTGGTATTTATTGTATTAAATTTATCAATGTGGCCCCTAAAGTTTCAATTTGTGTCATTTTGATCCTTAATCAAAGACGAAAGTGATCACGTGTAATTTTTTCAGACGATATCAGGTATTTAACACAAGTTCATTCTGTTAAAAATTTAAACGGTCCGTTTATGTAGCGATCATTTGAACACAAATTAAATACTTTAGAGATAAAATTAATATTTTAATGATCAAACTAATAAAACATACATACTTTAAATGCCAAAAATATTTTTAACCATTTAGATAAGCTCTGTAGAGAAAAAAAAGTAGCATTAGTAAATGTACTAATTTTGAGAGAGAAATATTTGGTGCGACAGACGATAAGTGTTCCTTCTTCCAAGCAATATATACTGTGTAGGAATGACAATAAGTCATGTTATCCAAGGTTCTTGTGTTTAAGTTGTGTGTTCTAAAAATTTGTTCAATCTATAGTCGCATAAATTTATAATTGTGTATAATTGGATTTTTAAAGTGTCGAGATTGTGTCATGTGTAACTATTGTTTATCAGATTTGTATGAACCTATTTATTTAGTATAGGTCTAACGGGTCCCCTCATTTACAATTTGAATGTGTTAAGACTAAATCCAAACTTGTTAATTCTGTGCAATTTTATGAATGATATCACAAGTAGTGTTTAAAATTGTCAGATCTAATTGTGGGTAGAGCCTAGAATAAGTATATGTATTTCTAAAATGAGGTGAGAGAGAGAGAGAGAGAGAGAGAGAGAGAGAGAGAGAGAGAGAGAGAGAGAGAGAGAGAGAGAGAGAGAGAGAGAGAGAGAGAGA